TTATGGAAGGGTATTGAAATTAATTTGGGAATTCCAAAGGGTATTGAAATTAATTTGGGAATTCCAAAGGGTATTGAAATTAATTTGGGAATTCCAAAGGGTATTGAAATTAATTTGGGAATTCCAAAGGGTATTGAAATTAATTTGGGAATTCAAAAGGGTATTGAAATTAATTTAGAGTTTTAATTAATTTGGGAATTCTAAAGAAATAAATTTAATTCCCATCATTAACTAATTTGGGAATCTTAAAGAGAAAATCCCAACATATACAACGAAGTTGCTTGCCTTTAATCTGAATAATGAAATCACAATAGCAATTTCTCTGTGAAATAAGAAAAATTCAAGATGATAGACCCAAAACTTCTAATAAATTTCATGTCTGAAATAATATTAGCCTTACCAAGGCCATTCAAATCAATGACACTAGATAGATTTCACTTAGCATATTGAGCCATTTCAATAGTTATATAAACTGTTAAAATATCTTGAACATAAAGTGTAAAATTACATTTAATTTAAATAGTTTATTCGTGTCATTTTATTGAGATGATAAAATTACTTATGTAAATAACAATAAATTTATCATGAATTAAAAATGCAATGTTTTTTTAGGGTTTTTACTTACACAATATTCAAAACATGCCAATTTACATATATTACCGTAAACTTAAATAGTTGCATGTAAAGTATCTAAAATTCCCTCATCCTATTTCGTTATAGCACCGAATTCTACTACCTTAACTTCCTTCTACGATGGGTCTCGTATCAACAGTGAGTTGGGGCGACTAGCAATGAAGAAAGGCCGGGAAGGAGGGGTTTGCGGGCTAGCCAGAGAGCGGGTTGTTGCAGGTTGGTGCATGTTGGTGCAGGAATGTGACGTCAGTTTCTAATAGCTTTGAGTCTCGGGGGAACAATGAGATGGGGCATGCGGCTGCCAATAATGAACAAGAGTCGGGATGGAGAGGGTTGCAGGCTTGTCAGAGAGTGGGCTGTAGAGAGAAGGTGATGTCGGTTTCCGACCGCTTTGAGGTCGCCGACGGTAGTGGTTAGTTATATGGGTTGCTGTAGGTAAACGCAGGAAGGTGACATCTTTGTCGACTTTGAGTCTCGAGGGAACAATGAGATGGGGCATGGGGCTGTCGGCTGAGAAGAGTCGGGATGGAAGGCAATGGTTGGTTATGGGTTGCCAAAAAGGGAGAAATTGTGACAGAATGGGGTTGTCAGGGGATTTGAGGTCGCTAAAAAAATGAAATCCATATGAAAGTTGAGAGTAGGTGCTGCGGACCGAGGAAGTAAATGTACTATGATTAAGGAATTTTAGGTGCTTTATATGTAGTTACTTAACTTTAGGTGTGTTGTATGTAAATAGACATATTCAGGGTGCTCTGAATGTAAAAACCTTTATCAGGCTTCTTCTAAGAAAAATAATTAAGAATAGAATGCAGTCAGGCTCTTACCCATATAAATAAACTGGAGAGGGCGAGATAAAGAGACAAGCAGGCAACGCAGTAAAACTGTGCGCGACTAATCATCCAATTTTCATTCAAGATTAATTTAACAAAGTACATATAAACTAATTCTAAAAAATAAATTTCCATTCCCCAAACAGAAGTACATACGAAGTACAGTCATGACGAAGTATCCCAAAGCCTGTAGCATCCGATGTATACATTTTCATGTGATGGCCTTATGCCCCAAATTTATAAGCAAAACATCTTCGAATCATAAGCAAAAACTTAGTGGAAATTAGGTGAAAATATTTGATTAAAATTTAATTATGGTAGATTTAAAATTTGAAATTTATTTACATAATTTATGTTATTTTTCTTTTTGTTTTTACCATGCAACGCAGGGTCTTGTTGCTAGCACATCAAATTAATCATCATTTTTCGGAAGATTTACATGCATACCACTCTATTTTTTTTGTATTTACATATAAAAAACCTAACTTTAATTTTTACATGTATTTATTTAAGACTCCATTATAGAGTTATAATGCAAGACCATATGAGAGTCTTATTCATTTTTATATTAGATTGATTTTATTCATGAATCCAACTCGTTAAAATGCTTGTTTATTTAGTAGTGCATTTATTTGAAATATATTCTTTTTTTTTTAAGCTCTATGGGTTGCTCATTGATTGGTTGGTTAAAATTTGTTCAATTATCTAATAAGTTGCTAATTACTTGTGTTGCTTTATACGAGGCTCGATAAGGTATGTTAGTTAGTTTCTAAGTCCATTTTAAAGCAAAGTCAAACAATCGGAAGTTTGCTAATTTAGGCTTAAAGACTTAAAAATACTTAGATCGTGCTCCAACTAAATACTCAGGTTGTGCTCCAACTCGAGTTTGGTTTAGCAAACAATCTCAAGTTTGGGCAAGCTTCTACTCTGCTCGGTTTGATTTATTTGACATGAGCTTTTATTAGTTTGCATAGCAAAAAATATTATATCCATGATGACTCACATCATTTTTTAGAGTGTTGCTGTACTTATGCGAATAAACATACAAAGAAATTATAGGTTTTATGTACGTCAATTTCTCTAGCACATTTGATGAATAAAATATGAATTATTACATGTTTAAATCACATTTGATTAATATGAATATTCTATTTATGCTAATTTTAAATTGAAAAAAGAAATGAGATATAATACAAAGAACATTAAAGAAGTTATTGACGTAGGATAGTTTATGTGGTTTGAACTTGTAGCACTTGTTTTTTTAAGTGTAACAATATAAAATTATAGCCGATAAGTTCTCCTTGCTAGAAAAGTGAAATGAGTGTAAAGGGAGGAAGAAAATGCATATTAAAAGTTATGAAAATGAACTATATATTATTGATGTTCGATTGAATAGGTGCTTCCTAGCAAAGATGATGGTCAAGCATATTCAAAAGTAAATTTATTTAGGATAACTATATCAATACAAGTTATAATAACAAATTGATTAGGGATAACTATATCTATATGAGTTGGTGTAATTCTATGGCGACAGTTGTGCACATTCAGAAGTGACCACGTATCTAGTACTTTGGAGGAAGTATAAGGATTTTATGACATGATATTATGATATAATATTAAAAATAGCAATGAGATAAAATCCCAATATATATATATTGTGAAAATTAACTTAACATTCAGAGTGAAATTAAATTATTTTTTAGTTCTTTAACCAAACAAATAGTGAAAACAACAATTTTGACGACTCATGTTCTAAATATAATTATTTAAATATTTTACATTGCCATTATTTGAACGTGAAAGTAGTCCATGCGCAAATTCAAAGTACATTAATTATTTGGGAAATTTAAATACACAGCACACAATTGTTATGTATTTACATATCTAACCCTTAAATTTTCATTTTCAACATATTTCATGCTTTAAACCTATACATAAAAATATAACATGATTATCCGAATTTAACTTTTAAAAATTAATAATAATACTATTTTTTATGTAATCTTAAGAAATTGAGCTCTATGGAAATATAAAATTTCTGGTGTGAGCGAAGCTACATATCTAAGCTAAAATTTTCTATCTAGAGTTCAAAAGTGCGGACAATGGTCGCGATGCAGCGGAGGATCGGACCTCCACTGTATCGCTGCATCGCGTCCGTTGTCCGCACATACGGACTCCGGACAGAAAAATCACTCCATATCTAAATGCCCCTTATTAATTTCATAATTAATATAATAATTGTTAAACATATGTATTTCTCCCAATGGGTTGAATATTCGTCAATATGAAGATTTGTCAGACATATGCATTTTTTCCTAAGGGGCTCGATGTTCGCCAATGTGAAGATTTGTTGAGTATATGTATTTCTCTTAGACGACTGGATATTCGCCAAAGTGGAGATTTGTTGGGTACGACACATATATCATAAATGAGACAGATGTCGGAGCGGAGCGAAGCCCATGAGCGGAGTGGAGCAGAAGGATCTGTCGCGAGGAGTCATTATGTGGGTTGGGAGTGCGGAGACAACATCCTGCAGTTTGGTACATTGGTAATTTAAGTAATTACATATTATATTATAAAGTTATATATATATATATATATATTGTTTTTAACTCTATATGAGTCTCTGAGACTTCAAGATTCTGAATCTTATATTCTATAATCTTTTCTGAATATTGAAAATAAAGTCGTCGTTCTGTTCCTGAGGATGTATACATCTTTACTGAACCTCATAAATCAATATGTATTCTTCTAAATTTGTGCAGATTTTTATTTATATTCGCCCTAATTTTTCAATTATAGTCAAACTCGCATAATCTGATTTAAACCTCTTAAATCATTTTAGAAAAATCATTACCAGCCAATAGGTGCCCTCCAGCTAAGCACGTGACAGGTTTTAAACTCCCCGCCCTCACTGCCGTGGACGCATCCGTACCAGATATTCTCCCAATCCTCCCCCTCCGACACCAGTCCGGCGCTCCCATCCCGCAAAGAAAACGAGAAAATGCACAGAAACCCCCTTATCCATCTTCACTTACCCCTTCACTCTTTCATTCCATGGCCACCACCTCGTCCCTCCTCCCTCTCATCCGCCTCCAGTCCAAAATTTACCCCTCCACCTCCCCATCCCACCGCGCCTCCCTTCCTTCCATCGAACACAAGCTCGTCATCTCCGGCGGTCGATCCATCTCCGGCCATGTCGCGATCAGTGGCTCTAAAAACTCCGCTCTCGCCGTCCTCGCTGGAACCCTATGTTGCTCCTCTGGCACAGTGGCTCTGCGCGGAGTTCCCGAGCTCCTCGACACGCGTACGATGGCTGAAGTGCTGCGATCGGTCGGAGCCCGCGTGGAGGCGGAAGACGGTGGCGTTTTGGTGGTTGACGCGAGCAATGTGTGGGTGACCGAGCCTTGTTCGGAGAAGATAGGGAGGATTAGAGCGGGGTTCTTTGTTTTGGGGCCATTGGTGGCGAGGTTCGGTAAAGCTGAGGTTGCGATGCCGGGAGGATGCAGGATTGGGTTGAGGCCTGTGGATCTATATATTAAGGGGCTTGAAGCTCTTGGTGCAGTGGCTGAGTTGAGTTAAGTGGATGATTGAAGATTTGATTTAGATTGAACTAATATCTGCTTTTTCATCCTTTACGTAACTGTTTGTAGCTGAATGCCGTGTTTTTTGATAAAAACTGTATTGTGATCCCAAGTGATCTTGTTTAACCTATGAAAGCAGTAATTTCATCTATGATAGCTTGCTTCTACCGATTTTTATTTATTTATTTATTATTTTTGGGTATTTGCTTGTTATTTGTGCTTCAATACTGGAGTTTCAACTTGCCTCCAGTGTCATGAGGTTTTGTATATTGATTTAAAGTACTAACAAGTTTATGGCTTTGATAAACAGGGAGGAAAAGGTTTGTGTTTATGGTGCAAATGGCAAAGGCCTTGTTGGAGGATCATTCCATCTCACTTACCCTAGTGTGGGAGCAACTGAAACCTTCATGATGGCAGCATCCATGGCTGACGGTGTTTCTGTGCTTACAAATGCAGCTATGGTGAGAGTTTTCCTCTTGATAGGTTTTTTGTCCAACCATTGTTACAATTTATTTAGCAATGTGTTTTCTTATGCACTAAAGAGGGCGGCTGGAGCAATTATTAGTTTTCTCTATCATGATTTCAAAGTTATAGATTTGAGTCAAATAATTTATAAGTAATATCTCAAAATTGTTTGGTTAAGACTGCGTATATCAACTTAAGCCCAATATTGATGGGATTCTCACGCACTCATACATTCTTTTGTATCTTTAACAAGTAGATGAGGGCACCAAATATAGCATTTAGGCTTCAAATTGCCTTTTTGTCCGTTGATTCAAGTGTTATCATGAACCATGCCATAAGAACCTTGTTGTTTATCTGAATATAAATGCTTTTGCTTTTTACCAAGTTGATCAATGGTTTATAACCATACGGAGCTGAATGAACTCCTCAATAGTTAGAAGTTATGATTTAGAAGTTAGATCACATTTTCTACATGAGGGCTTCTGAATGTCAACTACACTGTTGTATAGGAGCCAGAGGTTGCAGATCTTGCTAAATTTCTGAATGCCTGTGGAGCATGTATTGAAGGGGCTGGTACTAGCACTCTTGTTATTACAGGCAGGAAGAAGCTATATGGAGCTGAGTTCACCATTTTGCCAGATCGTATAGAGGCTGGAACATTTATGGCTGCTGCTGCCATCACACGCTCATGCATTTCTCTATCACCTGTCATCCCTTCACATTTAACACAGATGACAGAAAAGCTTACAGAAGCAGGCTGCAAGGTCACACAGATTGGTTCCAGCGCACTTGAAGTAAGGACATTTAGAATTTTTCTGATGCTAATTTACTTCCGTGGGATGAGGTACTTAACTCATGTTGGTAGGTTTCAGCAGTTCCTGAAGTAACAGGCGGAAAGCTACAAGCTTTCAATATCAAGACATTACCATATCCTGGGTTCCCAACTGACCTCCAAGCTCAGTGCATGGCTTTACTCACCACCTGTGTTGGGTCAAGCATCATTGAGGAATCTGTATTTGAGAACAGAATGCATCATGGTATGATAATATATTGTTTACATGTGTAATTTCTAATTATGGTTCTTTGTGATTGATTTTTCCATTATCGTTGTTGAGTCTGAAACTTGAAATTTTCAAATATGGTATTTAAACTTGCTAATAGATATCATGATTAAGTAATAGCGATTCCACATAAAGTGTACATGTACCAGGTGTTATTTATTATACTTTGGCTTGTTATTGTATTTTGGTCTTTGTCTAATTATGAATCAAAATAGCCTTGGAATTTTAAATCTTATTTTTAACTTCAAAGAGTGGTTGATGGAACCCTTTAAAAAGTTTTATATCTGTTTCAAAACGTTCCAATATTTTTTTGTCATATTAGGCACATATCTATTGATTGCTCCCAGCTCTTGTTCAATATCTGGTCTTTTGCAAACTATTGCGTACGTCAGAGGTCCAACAATTAACACTTAAGGGACTTTAGCTACGTGCTCTTTTTTCTTGCCAGACTTTTACATATTTTTTTAGATAATTTGAAAGAGTCAGCAAGCCACATACATATAATATTTACCTTTATTATATTTAATTTACCATCTTTTGTATATATTATAATTATGAAGAAATTAATTTATACATCTCTTTATTACGATCTTTTACATTGAGTATTTTTTTGGCTACTTTAGAAATTTTCATGTCAAACTCCTTTAATGGTCTTCTCTTTAGATTGTTAACTTTTATAGTATCAACACCTATAGTTAACATGCCATGTACTAAACTTTAAAAGATGTAGATGAAAGTGTAACTAAGAAGTCAACTTGTGATTTGGCTCAGGCGCTCGGCTCAATAACGACTTGTGAGTTGAGTTTAATGAGCTAATGAGCCAAGTTTGAGCTATCTAGACTTGACATGTTAGCTCATGAACCATTTCATTTAAAAAATGTCAATAAAAATTGTACCTAAATGTTTGAATGAATGATTTTAATACAAATTTAAAATATTTCAAAATTATCTCTTATTTATCTTACCATTTTTTTAATTATTTCTTATTTAATTTCTTATTTTTTACTATTTTATCATAATAATTGTTTGAATAAGATTTTTTCTCTCTTTCATAATAAATATGGTTGCTGTTGAGCTAACTCAAACTTGAAAAATTAAACTTGAGCTTAAGTTTGAACTCAATTAATTAATCAAACTTAAGTCATAGATGGATCAAGCTCAACTCGATTTGCTTACTCCCCTAATGGAGAGGTTACACATTCTACGAATAAAACAAATATATCACTTTGTTCACATTATGACGATTGAGGGGGAATATAATAAGCTATTGTAAAGAGGAGGGTTGGATGTAAAGAGTTAGACATTATTGCTACTTGCCATTTTTTCTTTTCTTTTCTTTTCTTCTAATAGAGATTTTTTTTTTTTTTTCATCTCTCTTCCTATTATTACCTTTATTTGCTTATATTGTAGAAGGCATTCTACTATTGTTTTCTTTTATTTCTAAAGTTATAGTGTATGGTGGCAGGTGTGAAAGATTAAATGCAAATAAAGCTTGAGTTTGATAGCCACCATCTTGAAAAATTAAATATGCATTAATCTTAAATTAGGTAATCACTATTTTGAGAAATTACATATGAATGGATTTTTAGTTGAGGTCGAAAAATCTTAAAAAATTAAGGTCGAAAAAATTAAATATCCACCCAAAATTACCTTATCGTTACTTATCATAGACCTTGTATCTTCTCCTCTTACATAGAATATGTGTTGGTAGGTATAAAGAATTGGTTGCTAGATCTTGTATCTTGTCGCCATCAACCATGATTGTTTCCGTTCATTTTTCTCTTTTTTTATTTTTAAAAGGAGTCGCCAGCTTGTCGATTGTCGTATACTTCCCCCATTTGAATAAATCTCCCTCCCGAGCCATATAAGTGATTCGAAGAGGAGAGGAATCGAATAAGAAGGGAAATACGACAAAAATACAAACAAGAGAAAAAGTAAAACGTGGAGAGTCTACGTGCGATAAACCTCGCAAGGATATGTTAAGAATGTCCGCCCAAACAAGATCGGGTAGAGACACCTTAAACCGATATCCGCGAAAGAAGTATCTACATAGACTACCCATAACCAGAGAGTCAGGTGTATGTACCTGTTCTGGGGTCAAGAGCACTCCCAGAGGAACGTGTTCCTGCTGGTTAATTACATCTTGGGGGATACCCAAGAATACTCTCGATAAAAGGAGTTTCACTTCATATTATCATAGACCTGGGGTATAGGAAATTAAATGAAGGTTATTCCGTGTGGGAACAGTCTCAATGCTTTAAAGCTCACGCTAAGCAATCGAACACAGAGTGAGTCTCTCACATCCCGAAATGGGTAGCGGCTCATCGGCACATGGGGCCCACGAAATAACCTAAATCATCTTAACGGGGATCTCCCAAAACGTCAAAGCACATCTGGGCCAAAGGGCAGAGGACAAATCGTCGTATCCCAAATGGGCGGCAGCTCATCGGCATCGGGTCGTCAAGGTTATATCAACGAGGTCAAGAAGTGACAGGGCTTAAAGGGGCTCAACAAAAAGGAAAATAGAGTGATCCTAAAAGGTAGAGGTAATTGGGTCGGGGTACCACGGACCCGTCATACACAACCACTAGGACCCTAAGGTCTTCCTGGTCCTGTAGGTAGTTGGCCCAACACGTCCTGAAATCTCCGGTCAGCAATCCGTGAATTACATCATATACGAGAACCTCGGTAGCCCTAAGGTCAGAGGAAGGAAACTCTATCCTATGACTACAAGCTAGAGCTCCAAAATGTGGGACTTATACCTGCCGAAGTAGCAAGGGCTCCTCAGGAAAGAAGAGAAAGTGGAGGTTCACCTAAAAAGCTGGAAACGCTCCAAACAAAAGGACTTACACCCCATCTGGGTTGGGGAGCCTTCTAACATCCTAGGCGCACTAGACAACCATCTATATGAAGGTATGTTAGGCCAGTCAGGTTGGAGAAGTACGAGGACTCCTCCTTGGTACATGCAAAACATGAATGCAATTATCTAGAGTGATCCTAAATATTGTGGAGGCCCTATTAATATATGCAAGAAAGTAAAAGTTGCAATTTTTTGATCCTTAATATTTTAATCCTAAATTTTAATTATCATGAATATTTTATTTAGGATTTTATAGAAATTTAGGAATTTAAATCCTAAAGAGCCTATGTTATATCGTGAAATCCCAGATAAATCACAGAAAGAAATAAGGAAAACACATGCAAGTGTAGACATGCAATATGATGCAAAAAAAATAAAGCAAGTCAAACCAAAATAATAAACAGGCCGGTGCCGCTGGGTCGGCAACATATCTCAGAAAAGAAAAGGGCGGCCAGACTCCACAAATACATGCCCGGTCCTAATTCTATACATCAATATAAAATGCAGAATTAAGATACGGGGCACGAGCATCTGCTCCTGGTCCCCTCCACGTAGCTCCCGTGCTAACGACTTGGACCTGTGCCCGTATCTTATTTCTGCTACAGGACTCTCCTAGACTCTAAAAAATACATAGAGAAAAGAAAAAGACTCAATCCTGCATGGAAACAAGTGTCAGCGGAAAAATCTCATGCACATAACTTATCATGAGTCATACCTTAAAAGTGGGGGGAGCTAATAACACCTGCAAGCAAAATGATCAGAAATCATTACTTGCTCCCCCATAGCGGTACCCTGTGTGTGTGTGCATTAGATATGGCTCCCTGCCGAAGAACGCCCTAACACACTACCATACATATGCAACATGCAGACACACCACAAGCATAATACAAAAGAAAGATACTTGGTTAGGACAACCAATCCAACAGAGAACAATAGCCAGACATCAAAAAGACTATCTAGCACTCTAAATCCTAGCCTAGCACACCATCTAACGAAAAGTGCATCAACCTAGTATCTAAGTGGGGGTTAAGTCTAGGTATAATATGACTTTGACGGGGTCGTCATACCGGCCCCATCCTAAAGATCCAAAGGATTTAAAGGGTGTCACGAAGAATGGTGACACGAGTTAGATCTATTAGATCTTTAGCACAGTCATACTCGTGTCAATCCCGATGACTTAACTCGCATTGCTCACTGGGATCAACCCAACAAGCAATGCTCGTTAAGGCTTCGCGACCAACACGGGATCATTCTTCTAACGAACCTGACTCGCTATCCATGCAAACATGCAAATGCAAATGCTAACGCAGGAAAATCAGAACGTATAAGTAGTGACAAAGAGTGTCATGAAGGCAGTGACTCGTAGGAATGAGCATGTCGTAGTGACAAGGGCCCGAAAAGAGGGTATGCCGATAAGGCAGTGACCCGAAGGTGGGCATGCCGTGGCAGCAGTGGCCCGAAAAGAGGGTATACCGGTAAGGCAGTGACCCAGAGGTGGGCATGCCGTAGCGGCAGGGACCCGAAAAGAGGTATGTCAGTAAGGCAGTGACCCGAAGAAATACAACTCAAGTAGATGATATTGATCATGCAAACAAACATGTACATGTACATACACAACATGCAAACGAGCAAGTGGTAGGTCGATCCAGATGGAGCATCTGGTCAAACCAAAGTATTGTGCCAACCGGACCGGGGTAGCCGGCTGAAACACTAGTGATGTGGACACAAGTGATGTGACCGGTGCGGGATAACCGATCGAGGCACAAGTGGTGTCGGTGCAAGTGCAAGATATAAGATGCAAGTGCAAGTACAACGTGCAAGTGCAAGGTGCTTCGGGATAACCGATCGAGACACAAGTGGTGTCCGTGCAAGGTGCAAGGTGCAAGCTGCAAGTGCAAGTGTAACGTGCAAGTGCAAGGTGCAAGTGCAAGATATAAGATGCAAGTGCAAGTGCAACGTTCAAAGTGCAAGGTGCAAGTGCAAGTGTAAGTGTGATATATGACACACAATATGTAACAATGCAAGACACACATATGCAAACAATGAGGTGCAAATGATCACACATGATAGAGAGCCACACTCGTACTAACGACCTCACCTAGGAAACCTAAGGTTTAGACCCTTGGAAATGCGGCATCGCCGCCTCTTGTTTTGGTGAGGAAATGTGGGGAGTTTCTCCCCGGATCTCCGAGGGGGAAACTCTCCACGACGTCGCGAAATGTACTAGCTACAAAGCTTTTACCATTTCGCGA